TTCTACAATTTGTGATCCAGAGATATAAAGCATCCATATTAAAGATGGATGCGAATCGGTGGTCCATCTAAAAACAGGTGTAACTAACGGTCTAAATGTTCTCTTAATAAATTTATTATTTCTAGTTTTCAAAAAAAAAGATTGTTTCATATTCATGATCTCCATACTAAAGATTATATATTCTCTGAAAATTATATTTAGAAAATATATTTATTGCCAAGCCCGCATTTCTACAATATGCAGCCTGGCCGCATAGAAACTGTGTCTTATATATATTCATATGGAAATTTTGAATTAAATCCTATTGGAATTTGACAAGACTTTATGTTCATGGAGCCGATGTAAATCCAACTCCAGCTGATTGCCTGATTCTTTAGAAAAAGTCAAAAAGAAAAGGGAAAAAGTAGATCTGGGAAAGCTATGTTTATTTCAAATGCCACTATGGATAGAGAGAATCATAAGAAAAAATGAAAATATTGAAGAGCCAAATAAAACTGCTCAGGCTCATTCAAAAGCCAGAAAGGCCCAACTTCAATGGTTAGAGAATGAGATTGGTAACTTGAAGCATGGAACTCTCACTTGCACAATATTTTCAGAAAGGATGAGATTGAGAATAAGCGACTCTCAATTGATGGGGCCAATTGACAATAAGCGGAACCAATTATTGTTGCATAGCATTAATAAATATAGAGCTTTCCTGTCGACCAGGGCCTGTTGGACAACACAGCCAACTTTGCTCTAAAAACTCACGAAACAATCGAGAAGCTCTAACTAATCAGATGTTTGGAACTGATGTTTCTAAAGAGAGAAAGCCCTATTTTTTGGAAACAAAAAGGACGGGAATGACAAGAGTCCAAAAAGGAAGAATGGGAAGTCAAAGGTCCCCAATAAAATGGGCAGCAAGACAAGGATAGTCAAGAACATAAGCCTCAGTTTATAGAGATTCGCAATCAATGTGGTAAGTAAGGGAATATGAAAAAGTTATCCGAGTGAAGCGTAGACAAGAAAACCCCAAGGTGTGTAAACTGCAAATATATCATATATATGAAATCAAGGCCTTCATATAAATTGTAGGTCATAAATAAATAAATAAC